AGATGCCTAGCTGTGAATATCAATTATGGTCAGAGACTTCCTGACACATAAAGATATATTTGTCTTGAAGAGAACCAGTTTCTAATGGCCATCTGTTATTTCCTTACACAATTTTACAGAAGAAGCAGTCTGCAAGGCTTTCACATCTAATTTATGAGCTCATCACACTTATCTGACCTGATTTCAGGCAGTAAGCAAGTCAGCCTCCATGGAGGCCTTACAGCCTGACACAGGGCTGCCCTTTCTGTGGTGTCAGGGAGAGGATACAAATGAATAACCGCACACACTTCTATCCATATAGCTGAAGTGTATGCACACATCAAAAACATGGCAAGCATAGCGAGCAGTGGCTCTATGACTCTTGTAACTGTCACAGTCACGGCATCAGACCCCCACCAAACTCGTGACCGAAGGACTAGCCGATCTAAAACCGCGATGTCACGTGCGTAACAATGCCACACCCAGCTGCACCCTGCACAACGATTTTCCAGCTAATTGGACCACAATCAACGTACCGGCAGCCTGAGCGATTGTTACTGGGTCAGGTTAATTACGCAATTAACCCTTCACACTGCCACCACCTCCTTTTTGTACAGAGAAAGAGGAAACTCGGCGATATCAGCTAAAACACTATAATAGTTGAGATAATCATCTGCATAATACGGTCACCGCATGCTGATTATGCAGAGGGTTAAACAAACACAGTAGCGTTCTCTTTAGAGGCAGGAATTCGTAAATTGCAATAAAGCGCTATAGAAACAGTTCAACACTTTCAGAAGGCAAGATTTATTACTAAAAGGTCAAACGGGTGCAATAACAATATTTACAGAAAAGATGTAACTAAGATATATATAAATATACAGAGACCAACAGCACAGCAAAGAGATATCAGAGAGAGGTGAAAGGGTTACGGTACTTGCCAAAGTCCTGGGTTAGCAGATCCAAGTTTCAGAGTGAAAGGGCACGGGTCTCCCCAGGTGGTACTGATGTTAAAATGGGAGATGTCTTCAACTCACTTTTTCTTAGGCCTGACAGCCTAATTTGTAGTTCCCCAACAGGGGATGTCTCTGAAGTCAAGGGCCAATACCCCGTTTAGGCATGGAGGTATGGGCGGATACCTCAACTAGAGCCAAAATCTCCCATAACTCATATTTTTTCCCATAACTTCCCATTTGCACAAGTGACATTCCACCCGTGGGTAGATTATTATGCAGACACGTCTGAGGATTGATTAGATATGAATTATGAAATTATACACTGATCGGTTCCCGAGATCTACTTTTCTGCTTCCCTATGTATTCGAGACAAGGAGAGTGACCCATCAAATTGTTCGTCTCCTCTTAGCCTATCTAACGATATGTCTGGTTTGTATGTAAGTCTCTCATATTCCAAGATATGGGAAAATGGATTTTAACAAAGGTTATCTGGTCGTGTTTCCTGGGAATGTTCTTTGAACTCCGTGGAAAGCTTGCCTTATCTTATACGAGGTGTTAAATTTCACAGGTTCTTTGGACAGCTAGGCCCTGGCTCAGAGAGGTGTTTTATAGCTGTGGGCTCCCTGCTGGCTCTAGCCTGCCAGTGACCCACAACCAGATGTCAATGTGGCTGAACAGAGAGGAAGGGGAAGAATGGGGGGGGGGGATGGCGAACTCTTAACAAAATGGAGGGCTGCGTCAGTCTCTGGGTATACGCTGTTACAGTAACTAGTACAGATTTTTTCTAAATACCTCTGACATTGTTGAGATATTGACTGTTCTACACCCTGTAATGTGATCACAGGGTCAGAAATTGTCTGCTAGTTGTCTTCCAGTGGAAGGAGTCATCAGATAATCTTTATGTGTATATGGGTGGCTTTATGCGGCGGGCTTTTGTGGGAGATTGAAGAAGCATGGCTGGTGATCAGCTTGCTTTAAACTCCTTGCTGAGGTTCGATGAAGTGGTTCTCTTTTCCCACAGTGCCACAGCCTTTCTGTACACCAGTAAAGGAAACAAACCAAGCACAACGCATATCCAGACACTACAGAGCTTTTTTTTTACATCTTGAACATATGACAGCGGTAATCCAAAAAAGTTGCCATCATATGATGTAAATACAGCTCTCAAGCAAATGGATCTGCTTTGTGATTTGATATTTTTTTTTCTTTTTTGATGCTTGAATCTGGTGTGTTATTAGGCTAGGTTCACATCTGTGCGGGTGGTGCCGCTGCGGATCCGCACAAAAATCCGCGCACAGAGAAATGCGGACCCGTGGGCGGGTGCCATTAGTTCAAATGGCACACCACCCACACTGGAAAACGCAACCGTACTGGGAACCGAGGTTCCTGTGCGGGCTGCGTTTTCGGAAAAAGAACAGGGACTTCTTCCCTGCGTGTCATGGGGCCCGGGAGTCCATTCAAATGAATAGGCCCGCGCAAAATGCGACCAGCACAGCCGCATATATATGTGAGCCAGGGTTCAGTGTGTGGCCAAAGCGGAAGTGGGTTCACCTCTCCAGGAAGCAGCAGCCACTCGTTATCCACCTGTCTGTATTGTGTGAAACAGCAATGGCATACAATTACTAGCAAAGATAACAGGTGTTACTAGGCAATTTGCAGACTGCTTTATGCAATACCCACAAATGATATTGCCTGCATGATAACAAAACCCAGTACAGTTCCCTTGACAGCCAGACAACGGTGGAAGGAGATAGATGTCATCCATTCTGAAAGTTAGTCAGCTGCCATAGGCTATAATAAACCTTTGGGAGGAGAATGAGACCAGTCAAGTGGCATCAAAACAAAGGATGTTAAAAACAAAGCGGGCTTCCCTAAAACAAACTTTTAATAAAAAGTGAGAATGGAGTTCAGTTTTAAGAGATAAAGCGACACTAATTTAACAACTCAAAGGGCAGCCAGCACTGCAAAGGCTAAATGCTTGTTATGTCTAGAGGTAGAGAAGCAGACATAATTGCTTAACCTATCTTCCAATCTTGGGCTTCTACCTGAAGCAGTCTGTTGGCACTTTCACATACAGTACAGGACATTTAACCCTGCTTTGTACGTGGTGGGGGCTAGTGTGCGATCGCAGCCATGAGCGGCTCAAAAAGGAGGCTGTGGGAGACCAACTGCACTGCTAGAGGGACCCTGCTCGAGCACAGAATATGGTTAGTACTTCTTATCTCTACTCCCTATATACTGTACTGCATTTTTTGTTTTGTTTTTTTGTGCCCATAGCTGGAGATTTAGATTCTTACATATTAAAGTGATACTAAACCCAGGACCCTGCATTCACTATATCTGGTCTCCCACAGTACACAGAACATGGAAATGTAATTATTTTAGTAAATATAAACTGCTAAATACCTTTTCTCATCAGCAGTTAGAGCAGTCTTGTGACTTCAGCAGAACACTGGTTAAAGCTTGTAGGAGGAGTTTTCTCTAGGAGGATGGAAATCCCCTGACCTCTGTCTGGACAGTGCTGATTGGTGGGGAGGGGCAAAGAAGAAAGGATCAGAAAGCCTTTTTACACAAAGCAGAGGATTAACCCCGTATGTTCCACAGTGAGTATAACAAAACATGCTTTACTACATATACAGACTGATTTTACTGTTGTGGGTTTAGTAACACTTTAATATTCTTTACTGGTTTTCTTTAAACCAAAATGCCACCAACAAACAAATAACAAGGGGCAATGTCAAAGGCAATGCATTAGACTTTTTTGCCACTAGAAAATTGTAGGCAAAACCACTAGCAATGTAGGGAATGACAGAATGCTGGGAGATGTCATAGCCATAGCCATGGTCATACAACATGAAATAGATTCCAGGTGCCAAGCTGACCAATCTTGGAACTGGAGCCAGGGGATATAAAACCAAGTAAAAGCTCTGTCTAATAATCAAACACCAGTCCTTCAATAGTACACATGACTTGCGTTTCTCCAAATATAACCATTTGTTAGGGTTGGCTATAAGGGATGAAACCTGTATGGAATGGCATCAATAATCATGTGTGCCTAGGGAAACATGATCTATACACCCAGCCCTGCTATACTATATGTACAGTGTAGTGTTGTTGACTGGTTTCTAGTGCTTAAGATGTTTGATGTGTCAGTTTTTTCCTTCTCTGAGCATTGAGTCTGAAGTATTGTGTTAATTGTTTTCCAGCCTTTTCACTTTTTATGAGATGAACATTCCCCTGAGACTGTCCCTCCTGGCATAAATATCAATTAATCAATGTAATCTTTACAACTACTGGCATCATAGAGGTTACTGACTGTATCTCCACTACATCCATCTTGTGCTTGTGACAAACTATTGTAATTGTAAAAACAAACAGCACACAGTACTTCACTACTTCAGTCACAGTCATTGCCAGGACATGCTGCAGCATGAATGGGTTAATAAACACTGCAACTGACCACTAATGCAGCTTTGTAAGAGCAAATTGTTAATCTCTTGGGGGAGTGAGGAAGTGACTAACATTGCCACAAGTCAGTAATGCAAGGAGTAAATAAACATTGCCATTGGCTACAAATGCAACAATGTCCATTGGCAGTGTTTATTAACCCCTACATTACTGGCTAGTGGTTGATTAACCTTCTCACTCCCCCAAGGGGTTAACCATTTGTGTATACAAAGCTGATGCTATCCTCTGCTGCTGCCCACCTTCATCTTCCTCAGTCCCTGGAAATGACGTAACGAAAGAGCAGCAGGCAAAAATTAACTTTCCCATTAGGCTAGGTTCACACCTAAGCAGTTTGCCTTTGATCCGTTTCTGCAGTGCTTTTAGCGTTTTTGCACATGTGTTTTTGCCGTGTTTTTGATGCGGTCTGCTTTTTTTTCTTGTTGCTAGGCAGATTAAAACGCAACATGCATCAAAAGCGCAGGAAAATGCAGCAAAAACACACTGCATACTTACCTGCAGCATTTCCATTGAAGTGTATAGAACCAAAAACGCAACTTTTTGCAAAAGTCCCTGACCCTTTCCAAGAAACGCACCAGGTAAAAATGCAGAGATGTGAACCTGTCCCATAGGAAATCATGTTAAAAGGACTGTAGTGTGTTTCTGTAAAATGCTGCGCAAACTGCTAAGGTGTGAACCTAGGGTCAGGCAGAGATCACTCCGCCTGACAGTAGTGCTGAATCTTCATGCCGAGGGCAGAAGCACAGAGAGCGCTCCGGCACTCAGCACCCCATTGCCACTCTGCAAGGTGCGGTCCTTATAAAGTTTACCCTGATGATGTACTGGGCTATATCGGGGCAGATTTAAGTAGCAGTTAGTAATTAATCACTCCTGGTCACACTACATCCCTCCGCATTCAACTGTCGTGCTTGGTGCTCCTGCCCTTCTGGACCCCCCCCGTCCTGACCATGGTCACAGATTAGAATGTCTTTCAAATGCAGGCATTTTTAGTTATGAGAAAGACTCATGTCCATGCACATTTTTCGCCAACAAAAATAATTATTTAGCATGTCCGACAAATGATTCAAAATGCCAGCATCACCCAAAGCTCATATCTGAGCCTTGGTAGACAGTATTACCTGCAGCTTGATTCCTCAATCTATGCTAAAGAGCATGGATGAAAAAATCTGCAATGCTGGTAATTGCATTCTGACAACCTGCACCTGCAGCTTACAGAATACATGAACAGAATTTTACACCCGGCTCCTTTGACAAAAGTCAACAAAAAAATCAACATCTGTTGACACAGGTGGTGCCAGTAGGGCCACCCACTAAAATTCGAAAGAAATTAGATAAAATTGGACCTGTGCATGGCCAGCTGAAACCCGTGGCTGTTAGAATACATGAACAGTGCCGGCATCTGAACCACGTATGGCCAGCTTAAACTCATATTACTCCCACTAAATTCCATAGGGCCATAAACTGATGTCACTCCTTAAGCAGGCCCTTGAACTACATAGTTGAAGGCTAAAGGAAATTAAATAAGAAAATTGTATAATGTATGGCCAACCTTAACTCTATTGTCATATATCTCACAAACTCCAGTATGTGGAGGCTACTTTGACACATACAATACCCCCTACCTAAACATTGTTGATGACCAAGTACACCCAGAGATGGACGCGATTCAACCATTTTGTCTCCAACCTCCATCTTGGCAAAGGATATTCCATCTTGTACAAACATATTCCCCTCATTCTCCCCCTTCCTCTCTGTTCATACACAGCGACATATGACCTGTGTGGTAGAAGTGTCACAGGCCGGCCAGGGCACAGCAGGCAGCCCCGAGCTATATACCATTTTTGAGATGGGGCCTCGCTGTCCAAAGAACCTGTGCAATCTAGCACATCATAAAAAAGATAACCCAAGCCTTCCCCTGAGTTCAAAGACAATCCGGAGGAGTGGAGACTGGATGGCACTTTTGAAATCCATTTTTCCCCTATGTCTCATATCATGGAATATGAGAGACTTACATAGAAACCAGGTATATCTTCAGACTGGCCACGAGAAGACGAACAGTTTGATAGGTCACACTCCCTGACTGGAATACCTAGGAAAGCAGAAAATTACATCTCTAGAACCCTTCAAATATGTATTCCATATGTCATATCTCTACCCGTTCCTCAAATGCGTCTGCATAGTAATCTACCGTCGGGTGAAATGTCACTTGTGCAAACGGAATGTTATGAGCCAAAGTATGAACTATAAGAGATTTTGGCTCTAGTTTAGGTCTACGCCCAGACCTTCCCTCCCTAAACGGGGCATTGGTCCTTGACTTTAGAGACACCCCCCGCTGGGTAACAGCAAAATGGGCTGTCAGGCCTAAGAGAGTAAGTTGAAGAATTGTCTTGTTTAAAATCAGAACCAACTTGGGAGACGTTCCCTTTTGCTTTGAAACTTGATCTGCAAACCCAAGGCTGATTGGCAATTATTTTAACCCTTTAACCTCCTTTCTGTTACCTCTTTGCTGTGCTGCTGTTCTCTGTATATTTTATATATATATTGGTTACATCTTTTTTCTGTAAATATTTTAATTGCACCCTTTTGACCTTTTAGTAATAAATCTTTCTTTCTGAAAGTGTTGAACTGTTTCTAAAGCTCCTTAATGCAATTTACGAATTACTGCCTCTAAAAGAGCGCTACTGTGTTTAACCCTCTGTATAACCGGTCTGCGGTGACCGTGCTATACAGACGATTATCTCAACCATCATAGTGTTATTGCTGAGATTGCCGAGTTTCCTCTTTCTCTGTACAAAAAGAAGGTGGTGGCAGTGTGAAGGGTTAATTACGTAATTAACCTGACCCAGTAACAAGCGCATTCAGGCTGCCGATACATCGATTGGAGGTCCAGTGAGCTGGAAAATCGTTGTGCAGGGTGCAGCTGGGTGTGGCATTGTTACGCATGTGACATAGCGGTTTCAGATTGACTAGTCCTTCGGTCACGAGTTTGGTGAGAAGGCCAGGGGTCTGACGCCGCGTTCGTCACACACCCCTTCATGGAAATGATATTCCCCGATGGCAATGATGGGATGTGCTTTAATGAGTTGTCATCCGCCCTATAGCAGTTTTACTGCTATAGGGCAGCCTCGTTGTGCAAAATCACGTATATATACGTGATCTACGCTCCCGCTGTGATCACTGGTAGGGGCCGCACGCGTGTGCTGATGCAGCGGTGCTGTGATTTGGTACAGCATCGATCAGTCAGCAGATTCAGGCCAGTGATGTTCAGCCTGGATCTGCTGAGTGATCACTGCCCTATCACAGATCTTCCTGTGCCTGTGTTTACATTACACAGGCACAGGAAATGATGTAATAGTCTCTCCCTGGAGCACATTCTGTTCCAGGGAGAGAAGAAAGCAGATCAACGTGAGTCAAAAGCACTACACCTTACAGTAAAAGCACTAACAGGTCACATTTAACCCCCTGATCGTCCCCCAGTTAACCCCTTCACTGCCCTGTCAACTGTGTCATTAGTACAGTGTACAGTTTTTTTTCACTGATCACTGTATTAGTGTCACAGGTGACTTCAGCCAGCAATAGCGTAAGTTAGCCCACCACTACATCAGTCATCACATTTAACCCTCTGATTGCCAGGAACACGCTCACATACACAATAAACCTCCATTGCTAGTATAGTGTCTGAACTGATCAATATCTTTGATCAGATCAGAACTATACCAGCGTTCACAATAGTATAGTGTACCCAAAAGCACAGCGTTAGCAAGATCAGCTCCCGCACCTGCCAGCATCTGAGTTTAGCCCCTACGTCTAAACGCCCCCCCCCCCTTCTCCCCCAGCAAGTGCAGTGTCAGTAGATCAGTAGATCTTGGGTTAGAAAGATCAGGCCTGATCTCAGCTTTCACGAGCAAGTACATTTTTTTTGTAGCGGTTCAAGCAGTCCCTGACAGCCAGGTGTTCTTTTTCCTGTGAGTCGCACTAGGTACCTATAAATTTAGCGGGCAAAATGTCCAATGAAAGGTACTCTAGTGAAGAGGCCTATAGGATTCTGACCATGTCAGATGACAGTAAAGGGGAAGCCTCACTGACAGAATCAGGCTCAGAATACAAACCTGTAGACAGCAGTGGCACCCTGACAGATAGCTCAGGAGATGGAGTAGAGGTCACTGCTAAGGTCAGGCGTACCCGACCCCGTTCCCAGGTTGCAGAGGTGTTACAATTGCATGATGATTCTCATATGCAGCAGAGTGCCAGTACAAGTGCCACTCTACCTTTTGGTGAACTGGTGAGCACCAGTGGCCTAGTACAACCTCATCTTTTTCATATCAGCACTGCAGTTTCACTCGGTGACCTGGCGAGTCCCATAAGTGCAGTACAAGCTGATGTGGTGGCTAGCACAAGTAGTATCCCACAGCCACCAAGAATTCAAACACAGGCCAGTAGAGCCCCTAATGTCCTTCCAGATGTGCTTGCACATCCTGATTGGCAGCCCGCACATTCTGCAGCACTCATACTTCCCCCATTCACAACCCAACCCAGAATTCAGGCGGAAACAGCAAATTTAACTACCCCCCTTGATTTTTTAGAGCTATTTTTCACGAAATATCTGTATGAATCGATTGTGGATCAAAGCAATTTATATGCACAACAATTTATTTGCCGCCAACCCAAATTCAAACCTTGCCAGACCATTTGCAGGGAAACCCATTACAGTTTTCGAATTTAAAGTTTTTCTGGGCCTAACCCTCAACATGGGCATTACGGAAAAAAAATGAATTACGGTTGTATTGGTCTACAGACCCGATTCATCATATGCCCGTGTTCTCTGTTGCCATGGTCAGCCACAGATATGAGAATATAATGCGATTTATGCATTTCAGTGACAATACTCTCTGACGTCCTCAGGGTGACCCTGAATATGATAGGCTTCACAAAATTCGGCCCCTCGTAAACCACCTTAACCAAAAATTTGCAGATGTGTATATTCCCCAGCAAAACATCTGTCTTGATGAGCCCCTCATTAGTTTTTCTGGCCACCTTGCATTCAAACAATTTCTCCTCAGCAAGCGTGCCAGATATGGGGTCAAAATGTATAAGACCTGTGAGAGGACAACAGGCTATACATGTAATGTATAGGGAAAAGATGTGGATCCCCCTGGATGCCCTTGGTGTCACCCTTTTTCCATATGGGGTACCACTTATACGTGGACAATTTTTATACAAGTGTGCCATTATTTAGACGTTTATACAATCTTGGAATTGGTGCATGTGGCGCCGTGCGACCTAATAGCCGGGGCTTCTCCCAATGGCTTGTAAATATCTGTCTTAGAAAGGGGGAAAAAGCCTGCTTGAAAAATGAAGAATTACTCGCAGTGAAGTGAAAGGACAAATGGGATGTTTTCATCCTATCTTCCATTCACGCAGACACAACCATCCAAATTTCCACGGCAGCTGGTGTTGTTGAGAAGCCCCTATAACCTTAGCAAGGGAGGGGTAGACTTCAACAAGCAGATGATGAAGCCATACTTAGTTTCCCGAAAAACCAGACGCTGGTACAAAAAAGTGTCTGTTTATTTATTTCAATTGGCTCTGTACCACGCTTTTGTGCTTTAAAAAGAAATTAGATGAAGTGGATCTTTCCTAAAATTCCAGGAAGAGA